GGCGTGGATGTAGCCCAGGCTGTGCTTCTGGCTGGCCTTGCACTTCACCACCAGGACGTTCTTGGTGATGCGCTGGACCAGCGGCCCCGTGGGCTCGGTAGCCAGCTGCCAGATGGTTTGCTTGGTTTCGGGGGAAGCCTGCATGGAGTTGAGCACCGAGCTCTTCAGGGCCAGCGGGGTGGCTTCGGTTTGGCAGTTCAGGGCCAGTTTGATGTGCTGGCACTGGTTCTCCACCACGCCTTGCGCCGCCACTTTCAGGCACGAGGGCACAGAGCAGCGGCCGGAGCTGAGCTGCGTGATGATGGTCCCGTCCACCGTCTGGATGGCTGTTTCCGACACCCCCAGCTCCACCAAGCACCGTTCCCCGGTCCCTCTGGCGCACCGAATACACCTGCAAATCGGAGCCGGTGATGATCTTGACGGCGTCGACGCTGGGCTGCTTGCGGGTGCCGCAGCGGAAGACGGTCCCGCAGGTCTTGTTCTTGCAGCTCAGGCCGCGGGTGCCGTTGTAGGTGCCGCAGCGGGGACATTTGCGGATGCCCCGGAGCGTGGCCTTCCCCAGGTCGGACAGGAAAGAGGGGACTTTGGGCCGCACCGATGCTGGCTCCATCCTCTGGGAAACCTGGGAGGGCAGAGAGCAGGGTTGGGGGTGAGTGAACAGCCCAGGGATGTGGCGCAGGGGATGTCACCGTGCCTTGATGCCGTGGTGGCTGCTTCAGCTTGCAACCGAGGCCAAAAATGACCCCCAGATGTGACAGGACACACCGTGGACACAAACTGGAACACAGGAGGTTCCACTTCAATTGGAGAAGAAACTTCTTCTCAGTGAGGGTGACAGAGCCCTGGCCCAGGCTGCCCAGAGAGGCTGTGGAGTCTCCTTCTCTGCAGACATTCAAAACCCGCCTGGACGCCTTCCTGTGTAACCTCATCTGGGTGTTCCTGCTCCGGCAGGGGGATTGGACTGGATGAGCTTTGGAGGTCCCTTCCAATCCCTGACGTTCTGTGATTCTGTGACTCTGTGGCAGTGTGCCTCTTGTCACAGGGTGACAAAGTGCCAACCTTGGAAGAACCAGACCCTGACATCTCCATCCCCTGCTATTTCCCAGGCTTGGCTGCACGGGAGAAAAACGAGGGTTACAAAAAAGAGAGGTTTTGGCTCATATGTGTTCATGGTCAGTGCCAGGGGGTCACCCTGGGGGTAAATAAAATAATAAAGGACATGGGACGTAAATGAAGCTGGGTGTTCTGTCCACCACTGCACATGGGCAAGGGGATGCACTGAGCACAGCGCAGCTGCTCTGGGTGACACCATGGGGGACATCGGTGACTGAGGCTGTGACAACGGGGGGAGAAAACCCTGTGAGGACTGGACAGAACTGGGGTGATTCCCCCCTCAGATCCACCCGGGTCAGAGTTTTGTCCTCGGTGGGCAGACAAGGAGCAAGAGCTGCCCCAGCACTTGGAGGAGCCACTGGCCCCACAGTCCAGTGTGGATCACAGAATCTTTTAGGTTGGAAAAGAGCTTTAAGATCATCGAGTCCAACCATCACCTGTCCACCACTGAGCCATGGCCCTCAGCACCTCATCTCCCCGGCT